GATATATATATATATGTAATTTATGTAATATATTTAATATACGATACTCCTCTTGTGTACATCTCTTTGGTTTCAACTTTGCGGACGCGAGTTCGATTAAAAAAGACAATCTACCGTAAAAATTCAATGATCGATTTTGATTCTTGAGAATTTGATATCAAGCAGTACGTATCCTTGCAAAAAATAAAAAAAAAAGATCCGAAATTTCCAAACTCATCGATCGCGATCGACAACTTAATAAATTAAATTGTCGGGAGAACGAAAGGGAGAGGAAGAGACAGATAAACAGAAAGATACATATATATATATAAATGGGGAGCAGAGAAGAGAAAGAGAGTTTCGAAGCGGAGACCGAAAGTAATTTAACAAAGGGAAAGGGAAGGGACACAGAACAAAAAGACTGAAAATATTGACGAAAACTGCGAGTGTTCGCCGTGTCGGATCGCAAAATCGCTATTTCCTTTCTTCCCTCCGGGGCTGCCATTCACGATGAACAACGACAAGATGCAAAGCAACGAGAGAAAAAGTTGGATCGCCAAAAAGTTATTTTGGTTCTGCCGATTCGGCTACAGACGCGTTTTCCTCCTCTTTCTACCTTAAAATTCTCGGAGAGTGATATGTAGAGGCGTCGTCTAAGGAAATAAGAAAACGCGTCGCTCTGTTGTTTGTTGGTCGAAAGTTGTCGTTATCCATGTTTTTCTCCCGCATCATCATCATCATCATCATCGCGTGTGTGCGTGCACGTCTTCGTATTGCGGACTTCCCAAGTAGCAAAGTGACGTCATTAAACGTCATACACTTGCTACCTGGGTTGGTACTTTGGAACGCTGGGTTTTGCATCGCCGGAAACAAACAGTTCGCTCTCCGGATGAAATATGTTATTCGATATCGTTCTCGGTAGACTAGATAACAATGATCGAGTATCGAACCGGTGTAATATCGGAAAATCTAAATTTACAGAAACATGAAAATGTGATTTCTCCCTCTATATATATGTATATATATATAACATTATGTATATATACATATATAATATATAAATGCGTATATACGGATATATGTATGCGTATAAATGTACACATACATAAATTCGCATATACATATTCATATTTATCCGTGACAAGTGATCAAAAGAGGTGAGTTTGGGATCGTGAACATTTTCATAAAATTTTGAATGGCGCATTTGTAACTTTGTTTACTTTGAAATTCTGATATTTTTAGAGAGAAATTTGCTTTATATATTATATATATATTTAGATAAAACTTTTATTTCCTATTAAAAATTTTAATCTTTATATATTTACATATGTATTAAAATAATATATATATATATATATATTTCTTTTTTGCATTTATACACATGTCATAAAAATGTTATTTCGCGCCCTTCTCAGGGTTCGAATTTATCACAATTCACCGAAATTACGCCAGTTTCAATTTCTAGTATGCGTTTCTTTCTCGTTGCTCGCTTATGCGTCACTTATCATCATCATCATCACCGTTTTCGTTCGATCGAGATCAAAAGAGAATCGTTATTTATTATAAATTTGTATTCCAAAGTACCGATCATTCTGATATTCATTGAACACACATGCGAGTATATCGATTATTTGAAGAGTGTCCGCGCATACAAACACACATTCGCACACACACACACATACACACACATATACAGTTATACAATAAAGAGACGTTATAATTACAAAACGTAGATATACATAGAATCGTCAAATCTTCTGCACGCACTTTTTCTCTGGCTCTCCCTTCTTTTTCTCTCGGTTAATCGTAAATATGCGTATATATGTATCTATATAAGTGTATACATATATGTATATATCTTATATAATGTACATATACATATATATATAGACACTTGCTTTGTGTATGTGTGTTATACATATATATGTAGATATATGCGATCACAGAACACGTATAATTCGCGTGTAATAGTTTGTGCCACGTTCTTCTTCTTGTGTATGTATCGTGTTTGCGTGTACCTTAACGATCTATTATAAGGATTTGATTTGTGTTTAAACAGCCTCTCCTCGATCCTCCTCACACACAACACTTTGACACCGGTTTTCGCTCGGTGTCCCCCAACTCTTGTACAACGATCGTAATTAATCGTCGAGGGAGGGACAGGCTCCGTCAGTTGCGTCCCCCATCGCTCTATTAAGTTCTCTCTTTCTCCTCTATAACGCATTATTAGAGGCTATTAGAGGGAGGGAGGCTATTAGAAGGCATGAAAATTCGTTGATAGATACCCAAAAAATCACACTCTCTCTCTACTTCGTGCCATCTTCTTCCTCCCTCCTTCTTCAAGTATCACCATCGGCGCAGAACGAATACAATGATTGATCTTTTTTCCGATTTCAAGCTAGCAGCCGAATTTGACAATAAACCTTTCTCAAGTTCCCTTCGATCGAGACTTTCCCCGAGTAGCAAACTGACGTCATTAAACGTCATTCGACGTCAAATGACGTATACTTGCTACCCTTTAATCTCCTGTCATCGCATTGAAAAAGTGCAACAATGTCCAATCCTCAAAAAAAGCGATCTATCCCGCTGTATTTTAATCTCACAAGATGAAAAAAAGACAGTCTGTCGGGTTGATCGGAAGCAAGTTCACGATGCATCTCGCATTCGGCTAAACGCATTTCGACAATAGAGCGCGTCATCCCTCGGTAAATAAACACAGCCGATAGGCATTGCTTCTCTCCGCGATCGCGTGCATTGAAAAAAGTGTGTGTGTGTTGTATTTGTATGTATCTGCATCTGTGTGTGTATGCTGCACGCGGTCGCGGATCGTCCTACAATCTAAGGTTTGCTCGACATATGCGTATGACGAATGGTAAGTAGATAGTTTTACGTTAGCTTTCACGCTTTCTTCTCTGTTTTTTTTTTTTTATGAAATATGGAGTCGTCGAAATGAAAATAAAACGAAGATAAAACGCATTGTACATATGTATATATCTATATATCTATATATATGCATATGTACAACGCAAAAAGAGACAAAATCGCGATGACGGATTAATAGATTTTCCTAATATAAGCCTTACAATTAATTTTCCACTTGTCGACAAGAGTTATATCACCCGACACAAAAGTAGAAAAACGAAATGACGCGCGCGAAGATAAAAATTTCTTTGTCTCGTGTAAATTGATGATCGATGCATGATTTTCCTCTCTTTTTCGCGACTAACTTGTTGGCGAATCGCGTGAGAAGAATCGAAACATATAATAAACGCAGAGTGAAAAAAGTGTAATATAATATAATATAATATAATATAAATGTCGGTGTGTGTAAAGTTATAAAGCGCGACGCGAAAGCTACTAACAGGCGAGAGCAAACGGTTTATTTATTTTTTTTTAACAGATCTGAAACATAAACGAAACGCACAAATAACAGTCTGCTACGATGCCGAACGTAGAAAAATACAAGTGTCTATGTACAAAACAAATTATAATCTTTTTCTTCTCTCTTTGTCATCCCCGGCCTTATCATATTTTTTCTTTTTTCCTTTTCCTCTGTCTGTTCGCACAACCTCTTTCTTTCCTCTTTCAATTCCCCCATCTCTGATCTTTTCCAATCCTATACACATTCATCGCAAACTGTATTAACCTTATTACGCGAATAGACGGAACCAGAACATGCGGGTCGACATATTCGTAAATCGCTCGAGGAACAAAGGATGCGTTGAATTCCTTGCATCTTCCTTTTTGCCCCCAATTCGTATCTTCCTTTTCTTCATCTCTTCTTTCTTCCTCGCTTCTTCATTAACGCCTTCCTGAGCGCTGATTGAAGAATCGCTCCTCTGTGCACGATGTTCCAGATGAGACTCGTTTCTTCCATGCGGGAACTTCTTACATAGTGCAGAGATTGGCCCGAGAAAACAAATCGACAAACTGACAGACAGCAAATAGACGAGGGGATGACGCGAAACTCCGCTTTAGGTCATATATCGCATCACGGCACGAAGAGCATATAGCAATTCCGCTTGCATGCGAGCCTCGAGAATCATCAGGTTTACGTGGACCTGGAAAAAATAGAAATTATATTTAACAACGTGTCGCTAATTGCCTATGCAAAGAATAAATTTTTCCTGTGTTAATACATAAATATATATATATATATATATATACTTCTATTTTTTCTTTTTTCACATGTTAAAAGTCTTATCGGAAAAGTTGAAGTGACTAATTCCAAGCACAGTTCGTACGAGCTAATCTTAACTATCATGAGAAATAAGTAACAGAGAGGCTATTTTTAACCTGACTGCGTAAAGCACGTTATATACCTCGTATTTAACACGTTTAACTTCTGAACTTATTTACATAAATCGCTATTCATTTAAATTTCTACAAGATTTAAAGACAGACGCAACTTTATCGCGAGCGTATTATCAATGGAATTGCATATATACTTTGATAAGATCATCGCTCAATTTCAAAATGACGGATTATTGTACAAGAGACCTCTTTTTTACTCCTTAAATAAATTATTTTAATCAAGCACGCCGCAGGCTAAAGTAGTTGTTCGGTAACAAAGTCATTCAAAAGTTAGGTAACGTGGCATGAGAAAAAATTTAAATGACTCTAAAAATATCTGATAAATATTTCCTTCTTTCAAGAGATATGAAATTAAAAGAAAGTCTAATGCTCTTATATAAACGTCTTCCGTTACTCGTAATTCTTAATAAAAAGAAAATGTATCTTTTAATGTACCTTGAATTAAAAAAAAAAACAAGACATTAATATTAATTTGATAAATGTTACGTGTTGACGATGCTATTTATATTACCGTAAATATCTCTTGAGATGCAGATTTTGGTATCACTTCAATTTTAACATGTAAATTAAAACTTGGAAGAAAAATTCTCAAGAGATAAATTTTGGCTAAATATCTTCATTCTCGAGACTTATATCGACGTTTACCTTTTCGCTGTGCTTGAACTCCCTCATGACGCGATCGTAATCCTTCTTGGTGACACGTTCCGGATAGCAGACGGCACTCTTGATGAAAGTTTTCAGGCTACGCTCGAGCAATTGATTCACCTCGTTATAATCGTAATCGTCGTGCCTGATGCCGAACATGCACTGTATATAGTTCCAGATCGCCCGTCTGAAACGCGACGTGTCGACCTTGCTGTGCGTGCCCATGGTGTAGTACGTCAAATTGTACGCGGTCTTGAATTTATCGTCCAGAAGATTACCGACGTCGTTATAGAGACGATTCACCAGGGAATATCCGTGATCGTCCCACGAGTAGTCCTGGACGCGAAAGGTCGGTATGTCGTTCAGCTGGCCGCGCTGGAAGAAGAGAATAAAAGAATCATAAGAGAGAGAGAAACATTTTGTACCGTCGAAAGGTCGCGAGAGATGAAAAATTATGTCAAAAAAAAAAAAAAGAAGCAGTAAACTAAATATATAACTCGGATTATCCGGCGAATCAACTTTTTGTTCTTTTTTTTTTTAATAACTTGCGCATAATCAACGCGTGGCGTAATCGTCGCCCCGCCTTCGCATGACTCCTACCTCGAGTCAAGTTGATACACAACGTTGTTGTCGCGCGGTAAATATTCATGGCAGTTACGCGAGCGTATACGAAGCAAGCTCGGCCGACTTTAAATATTCATGGATGAGCCACACGCTACCTTGGGAATATCCTTTCGGCTCTAATCGATTACGCGCTACTTGCTAGGCATGCCAAAACAACGCGCGCGGAATCATCGGCGAATGAATAACATGAGGGTTTGGAATAATAGCGACACGCATAAATGGATGAAGGAGTCCAATTAAGGGATACGTAATGCGAGTTTGACGATTATTTTCGGTAGTTAAGGCAAGGATCGAGGAAGCTCCTCTCACCTTAGCGAAATCCTGATAGATGAAGGTGGGATCCTCGATGAATAGACCGATATCCGAGTCGAGGACCGAGCTACTCCTCTGCGGCGCCGCTGCCAACTCAGCTGACTGCGTCTCGACGGTCTCGAATCTCTTGGAGAGCTCCTCTTGCGTGATCTGATAGGACTCGGACTTTTCCGAGAGGCGTTTCATACGTTCCATCAGGGTCTCCACGCCGACCTCCTGCTCGCCGACTATGCTCGGTGACGACGGCGGTGACGGCATATTTTCTGCGTCAAATCAAACAAAACTCAATATTACATGTGTATTTTTTAGGATTTTTTTATGTATTTAATGTGCTGTCGACCAAAGGACCCCGCATCAAATACATGGGATTTTGGCTTTTTTTTTCTTCATATGTTGTATGAACAAAAAATGTAATGGACTCGAAGCTAAATATTCGATAGTTACTGAGTTACAGCCAGTCAATCAACTCGCCAAGTTCAAGTTTTTCGTATTTGGCTAGCTGTAAATCAGTAACCATCTATTTGAATCTATTAGATTTTTTGTTTAGCAAATCATAAGTTACAACATGTAAGAAAATCAGCTGATCTTCCTGGGATTGAATTTCATCTAGGATTTTATATAGAATCAAAACTCTCGTATACTAATCCTATAAAATTGAATCTTATTGTGACTTCGTATATTATATATCATCATGTGAATTCTGTTTTCTTATATCATTGGATCAATTTTTCTTAGAAAGGTTCAAACAGCTTTTAAAGGTTTTATTCCTAATGTTATAATAATTTGTAATTTTGAATAATTTGGATTAACATATAGATATATATGGTATAATCGATATTATCTAAATCAGTAACCATCTATTTAAATCTATTAGATTTTTTTGCTTAGCAAATCATAAGTTACAACATGTAAGAAAATCAGCTGATCTTCCTGGGATTGAATTTCATCTAGGATTTTATATAGAATCAAAACTCTCGTATACTAATCCTATAAAATTGAATCTTATTGTAACTTCGTATATTATATATCATCATGTGAATTCCGTTTTCTTATATCATTAGATCAATTTTTCTTAGAAAGGTTCAAACAGCTTTTAAAGGTTTTATTCCTAATGTTATAATAATTTTGAATAATTTGGATCAACATATAGGTATATATGATCGAAATTATCTAAAAATAAAGTAGACAGATAAAGTTGAACATTCGTATATTATCATCATGTGAATTCTGTTTTCTTATATCATTAGATCAATTTTTCTTAGAAAGGTTCAAACAGCTTTTAAAGATTTTATTCCTAATGTTATAATAATTTTGAATAATTTGGATCAACATATAGGTATATATGATCGAAATTATCTAAAAATAAAGTAGACAGATAAAGTTGAACATACCGGTCTTGCCGTCGCCGTTGGGAATTTTCTTGGGACTGCTGGTCAACTTATCTTTGGTGGGCGGTACGTTATTACTATTGTCCTGTATGTTCTCCTTGTAATGATGGCCAGTTACGTTATCCAATTCCTCGTTAATCCCGCAAGAAAATGCGAAAGACGACAACGAGTGGAAGTGAGCTAACAGGACTATCGCTTGGACGACCTCGGCTAAGGACCAATTATCGTCGCCCTTAGTCAATTTCTGCAATTACAACCAACATATTTTACTGATATTTTCAAGCACGATTCAACGAATTGAGGATAGAGTAGAATTTTCGTTTCAAAATAAACCGCTTACCTCTATGTGCGACTTGTTCAGGAGCCAGGGTCTATGAGCTAGGATCTTGTTGATCTCATAGAGATCTTGCAGCTTCCCCGGAATCGATCTCAGGCCTTGGAGCCAGGAAGGGTCACCGCCCTGCAGAAGGAACTCTCCCTTCTGCAGGTTTATAAGGTAGCTACATTGGTGCCTACCCGCGGCCTGAAATTACACGATAGACGGATCTTCAAACCTGTTTTCTCATCAACTTATCTGTCGATTTATTCGTGATTTACCACTCGAAGCCACTTTTACAAAGCGCTTCTATCGCATAATGTAATCTCTCCCTTACACAAACCTATCGCAGGACATCAAATCGAAAAGGAACCGTATATAATTCTATTTATTACGGAAGAAGGAATTAATTAGCTAAATTATTATCTATGATAATTATTTGTAATAATATATTATTATTGCGATAATTACTCGTAATAATATATTATTAGGATAATTGTCTAATATTTTTAAATGACAGTTTGTTAGAGAATTCCCCGTTAAATGGAATAATAAAAAAATTAATCGCCACTTAAAAACTAAGATTTAGAACGTGGTAGTTAAATATTTCAGGTGTAATATAGAGCCACCTAAAATTTAGCTACGGTAGCTAATTGACGAAACGTAATTTGAATATAAATGAAGTGCACGTTCAATAGAAACATTTCCAGATGCCAAGTAATGTCGAGTAACGATATAATATAATCGCGGCCTAATTAAAATGCACATTGCGCTACGTGCAATAAATCATTTAATTTATGACCGGTTAAGCTTCGACAGAGGCCTCGTAATCTCGATTATCGCCTCAGGCCGCGCATCACAATAAGCAGATATTATATATATATATGTATATGTGTATATATTCCTGTGGAATTGGCTTGGGCAGATAATGTTCGTCGATAAGATAGTATCTTACTACTATCCATAGGGAAATAAGCGCGAATAAAACGAGCGAGCTCTCGCGAAAGCAATTTCGTCCCACGAGGAATTTCTATTCGAGTATCGAATGCCGTCGATTTGCACGTGCATCTCCCATATTGTATGTATATGCAATACGCGTGATAGATTTCCCGTTCCACAAATTTTCGGAGAACGATCAGTTATTGGCTCGATTTTCGGGCACAGAAGGGAGGGAGAGATTTCTAGCTCGACGAAGCATCCCCCGGTGCGTTTTTTCAATTTCGACACAACGCGAGAAATTTCAAACACCGGCGAATTGACGACGACGTGCGATATGATGCATCGCGGCGCGAAATTGCGCGAGGTCGCGACCGAAAATATCGCGACGCGTTATCAACGTTATCATTTTCGCCACGTGTCACGTCGAATCCAGCAGATATCGCGCATTCGAGCTTCGCTCCGTGGACACTGGTGTTTAATCTCTCTCTCTGTCTTTCTCTGTCGATGAGCAAACAATCTAACGACGAGCAAAAACCAATTATTATCGAACCGGCTAATGTGTTAATTTTCATCGGCCTTCGTAACTGACGACAATGAAAAGTCAAATAAAAAGATATTGTGATAAAAGATATAGTCGAATAAGATATGCGAATAAGATACGTTTCGAAAATAATATCGAGAAGAAATGCCTGAAGATATTCAGAACAGATCCTTCGCATATGTACGAGAATAAATAATAATATAAAAGACCCTTTTTTTTAAAAATTTAAAATACAAAAAAATATATGAAATATTTGTAATATAAAAATTTAATATTAAAAATGTAAAGAATGAATTTTATTCCTTTGTCGATGAACAAATAATATCTAACGACGAGCAAAAACGAATTGTTATCGGCCTTCGTAATTGATGACAATGAAAAGTCTTGGCCAAATAAAAAGATATTAGTCGAATAAGATACGTTTCGAAAATAATATCGAGAAATGCCTGAAGATATTCAGAAGAGCTTCTCATATGTACGAGAATAAATAATAATAAAAAGACTTGTATTTTTAAAAATTAAGAATACAAAAAATATTTGTAATATAAAAATTTAATATTAAAAATGTAAAGAATGAATTTTATTCCTTTGTCGATGAACAAATAATATCTAACGACGAGCAAAAACGAATTGTTATCGGCCTTCGTAATTGATGACAATGAAAAGTCTTGGCCAAATAAAAAGATATTAGTCGAATAAGATATACGTTTCGAAAATAATATCGAGAAGAAATGCCTGGAGAAATTCAGAAGAGCTTCTCATATGTACGAGAATAAATAATAATATAAAAGACTTGTATTTTTAAAAATTTATAATACAAAAAAATATAAAAAACATTTATAATATAAAAATGTAATATTAAAAATTTGAACAATAAATTTATAATACGGATTTTATGTAGACGCGACTGTTTGAGGAATAAATTACCTGACGCAAATTCGTCGGTGATCTATTTATTTTCGCGTAAGTAACTTTGCAAAGCCTCTGGGTATAAAAGGGGAGGAAGAAGGAGGATAAGGGATGCATGAGCGATAGATGCAGCGTGATCCAGCCATAGAATCGATCGGTCATCGTGACAGAATAAGGTATCGATATGACGGTAAAGAGCGAACGTGAGTAAAAAAAGGCAGAATAAAAAAGAAAAAAAAGAGATCGAAAAGAGAGGAAGAGAGAGTGTATGCATAAGAGAGAGTGATAAAATAGGCAAACAAGACATCTGTTTGCCATAAGGCATCTCTACGGAAATCAATCGATTCGAGAGATTCGATCGCGAAAAGCGATAAGAGAGAAATCCGCAGATATTTAAAAAATCTAATGGATTTTCTCGAAAAACACGATTTAATTTTAATAGTTTTATATAGATAATGTGACAGGTTCTATTAATAATTTATATAATGGATAAAAAAGAGAAATCATGATAAAACATGGAAATTATTCGAGCGCATCGAGATTGAAAGAGAAAAACAAGACGAAAATGATAAAGATTATCAGCATCAATTTTATCACCTAATCAATCCAGAGATCTGATTATCACCAAATTCGTCAATTATGAAAGTTTGCGGAAGCATTATCGCTTCACGTTTCGGAGCAATTATATCAGAAATTAATGAATATTAATTGCCGTAAAATGTTTGGCAAGACTTTACACATTTTATGGCGATATCGATTTTTTTTTATTTTTACACCGTCGCGGATTATCGCGCGCGAGAATTGGAAAGATAATATAAAGTACTGAAAATAATATTTCATTATCGCGAGAAAACAATATGCTCGTGATTGATAATGACGAGAAAAACGCGAGTGCGTACGTCCGATATATATTTCGATACTCCGATATATTATCCCTTCAATATAGTCACGAATCGGAAAACCACATTTTGTTTTTCTTTTCCAAATCGCGAAAGAACGTACCTTTCTACCCTCTACCCTCTGATAACCCCATCGCAAAATTACAAGGCTACAAAATTACGAGTGGCCAGTGATAACGATAAATTCGCCGCGTTTCGTCATAATTCGTAATCAACGATTCGCAATTTTACATAATTTTTTCTTGCTATAGGAACATTATTTTCAAATTGATGACCACTATTAAGCTTATTATAATCGTTGATAACAAATAATAATAATCGCAAGAAATTTATATCTACATCAGTTAGCGGATATAATTTGAGACGAGCGATTGGCGACAATTAAATGACATTTATCTTTCAAAGTCGGTCTGATATTATATTTTCTTTCATTTACAATTTACACACACACACAATAAAGTTGAATTTATTTTGTATTGCAAGCGTCACACAAATTCGCGATGTGTTTGATGCTTATAAAAATAAAATTTAAACGTATTTTTTTTAAATATCATAAAACTGTGACAGTTTTATTCGTTTGTAAAGAATAAATGTAGAATATTTATCTATAAAAAAATATGGATATCTCTATCTATATACATATATCATTTTGTAAAATGTTATATAATATTTCCAAATGTAGATATATCTACCCAGATCTAAAAAAATAAACTTCAAGATATTTTAAACAAATATTTGTGCATCATTTTTTACTTTCTTCCAATATTCGAGATAAAAAATTACAAGATAATCTCATTCAGAAAAAATTTAATAAAGTATAACTTTCTAAAAGTATTAGAACAAATAAATAAAGAAATTATAAATCTTGAATTTTTATATTCAAATAAGTCTTGAGATTGATTTTTATACAATTATTTTTTAATTCACTTTTTTTGCAGCAACTGTCATTTCCATCGCGAGTCGAGTCCCGAAGAAGAAGAGGAAGAAGAGAGTTCATACATATCGCGCGAAATGTTTACCGGTAGAAAAGCTGTTTTTCATATACCTTATCACTTTATCGCGCTCCGTTCCATGTGTACCAACCAACAATTTATCCTCGTCCTCGTCTCACCCCGCCGCAAGATAAAGTCTTTCTCGAGCGATCGTTTGCACACCACGATGATATTTCGCTTATACCACCAGCCTGCCAGTGTGTCTCCCGAATTGTTATCAGATCGAGATAATTCGAAGACCAACAAACGCGACGATCAAATTTAAATTGGAACAAACTCAAAGTCTGAATTTTCGCGACAACATTAACATGAAAGTAGGTATATTAATTAGTAAAATAATTAATTAATATATAATTTAGAATATAGTAATCATGAAAAAATTTTTTTTTAATTCCTACACACGAAAATTGTTTGACATATATCAGCTGATCAAAATGACTCGCGACGACTTCCGATTTTAAATTTAAATTGGAACAAACTCAAAGTCTGAATTTTCGCGACAACATTAACATGAAAGTAGGTATATTAATTAGTATAATAATTAATTAATATATAATTTAGAATACAGTAATCATGAAAAAATTTTTTTTTAATTCCTACACACGAAAATTGTTTGACATATATCAGCTGATCAAAATGACTCGCGACGACTTCCGATTTTAAATTTAAATTGGAACAAACTCAAAGTCTGAATTTTCGCGACAACATTAACATAAAAGTAGGTATATTAATTAGTATAATAATTAATTAATATATAATTTAGAATACAGTAATCATAAAAAAATTTTTTTTTAATTCCTACACACGAAAATTGTTTGACATATATCAGCTGATCAAAATGACTCGCGACGACTTCCGATTACGACTGCGTCAAAGACGGAAGCTGCGACCTCAATATTATAATACATCCTGAAGAGATAACAGTCTGTGCAGTTTGCCCAAGATTTTGCAATAAACAAAGTCAGTGAATGCTCGTCCAGCTGCCGTTACAACTCGACAATTTAGACTGAAACCAGTTTATAGAATCTGCATACTTGTTCTCAAGCTTATATCGAGTGTCTCTCAAAGATAGTTCTCATCATTTATATAGCGTCATATTTTTATTTTATACATCTGCGAAAATTCAATGAATTAATTATAATTATCAATATTAATTATAATTATTAATTGTAATTATTAATTAAAATTATGCAGTGCAAACGAAATCTTAATCGAGGAAGGAGTTTTTTTAACAAGTCATCTGAATTTTGCAAGAGAAGAAAACCTAGAAATCAAATAAACTCCTTTCAAATAATTACGTGATAAATTCGTTTTTTCGAATATTGCAGAAAAGCCAAAAATGTGCTGGAATATTTATCTATATAAAGGCTTTTGAAATCGCATATTTTAAAAGACGAATAAAAATACGACGAAACTTTACAGTGCTACTTCAAAAGAAGATATATTGCAATTTTATTCGAAGCAAACACATCACGAATTTGTGTGGTTTCTTGTTATATATAAGTATAAAGCCGCCAAATCTATTTTATCTCTTTGTGTGTGTGTTATCTGACAAGCCTGTTTCTCGCACAAATCTATATATTCCGACTGTTAAATCATAAATGACTCTTTTTTATTACTAAAAAATATAAGCTTGTCTGATCCATGCAAGCAGGTTTTTCGATTGATCGATTAGATACATTCACCTATATGTATTATTTATATTCGATAAAACACTTATATGCATCGGAATTTAATGCCATTTCCATTTTACGATTCAAGTCGTCGATAAGAAGAAAAAAAAAGTTGTCGCTAATTGAAAAATAAAATAAAACGCTATCGAAGCGCACTTCTGTAAAAATCTGTCTCAATTACAATAACACGATTTTATGAAAAGAAGGAGAGCGTTGTTTTCAAGATGATTCCTACACGCGTCATATTTTTTTATACACGCACATATATCGGAGAGAGTTATATAATATTGTATATAACAAAACGGCGTGTTTTGATGCAAGAATAGCTAAAAGTAATATGATGAACGAGCGCACATGGATCGTCGAGTGGTAAAGATCATAAAGGAACAGTCACAGTCTGTTATTTTTCACATCTTCGCAGAGCTTTTCTACGACAACGTGCGTGACGTTACGAAACGCACGCGCGTTGCATTTACTCTCGAACATTTGATAACCCTCGACCTGTTGACCTGCCGCTGCTCGAGGATGATCGGGGAACTCTTCGGAGTAAAGACGAAGATGGCGAGGAACGAAAGTAAAGTTCAGTCTCCCGCGAGAAAAGCTACGATTCCTCCTCTCGCACGCATGATAAATCGCGTTCAAACTTAATTGAAAATCTCCCGAGAAGAAAGAACACTTTTCAAAAAATTGACGAGACATATTTTGATAAACATTTATTTTATACACGGAAAGAAACTGTTGATTTCAAATACAAATTGATTTAAATTTTATATCGTTCATACATTTGTTTGAAACAAATAAATATTGCTTTCAAACAAATGGTGTCAATGGCACTATTTAAATAAATATTTATTTGAAATCAATAGTTTTTTACTATATATGTGTGAGTGTATAATATATATTTTTATAAATATATAACACAGAGAGAATTTACCCCGAAAATCATGATACTTAATCGCACAATAAGATATAAAATATTCAATGAATCTTACTCGATTTTACTTCGACTAATTGTACATATTAATAATTTTTATTGTGATAAATATTAATCAGGAAACTCATAAAATTCTTCCAATACCATATTGTCTCACAATTACCATGATTTTCAGGATAATTTTAAGAGAAAATTCTCTCCGTATATATTATAAATAATACATATAAAATAGATACAAATATTTTTCAAAAAAAAGACGAAAAATATTTTTCTAAATTAAATATTTTATATATGTATATACTTTACATATATAAATATTTTTAAATATATATTTATTCTGATAAACATACATTTAAATTATAAATATATATATATTACATTTTTATAAATAAACATATTTCAATAATGACCGAAAAAATCAATTAATATGCGGGAGAGTAGGAAAGATTCGAACTTCTCGACGAGAAGAACTTACGAAACTTCGTAGGTGATCAGAATAAGAACTCACCATAATGGCGATGAGATGTCGGTAGTCATAAGGAAGTGGTCCATCACCCCGAAGGATGAAATGCTGAGTCCGCAGGAAATGTTCCAGGTACGTTGGATGCGATGACATAACCCTTGAGACATGATCCAGCCTGTTGTTCTGTACGAAGGCATCCATCAACAGCACATGCGTCTGTAACACAAAATACGTCGCACGTAAGTAAAAGCGTGTCACTATAATTAAGATTAAAATGTTTCCCGCAACGCATATATACAAAATACTTGAATCTGAGAATGCTTCAAATTCCTAAATAATTAACGTCGAGAAAAAATGCGCGACAAGAGATAACTAAATTTCATTAAAAATTCAATCACTACAACGGATTATGGAAATTATCCTCAACCCTGCTTCGCCTCGGAACGAGTTAGACCCATTTTTTCGAGTATAGAAAGATATATATCCCCGCATTAAAAATTTATCAATCCAGTCGCATTACTGAGCCTATAAAACCCGTTAATCATTTCCGGCGTCTGGCGATAAATTTTAAGCATTAGAAAGTCACATAGTGTATTTATTTATTTTTTTTCCATCTAACGTGTTTGCATATATCAATAACGCGAATTGAGATTCCACATGCCTTATCGCGCTTGATTTCACACAGCTTGTGTGTGTCATCGTGTGACAAGAGCGAAATGAGGGACGAGAGGACGCATATTGATATGCGCTGATCGCGATATCAATTACATAATCGCGTTTGTAACACGTGCTCGAATATGAGGGAGCGGAATATCCGGGTCATCCGAAAGCGATCCGCGCAATCAGGTGTTTGCGTTGCATCATTCGACAGTTCGTCTTGACTACAACTGATTAATATATCACCTCGTGCCTTTGTGCGTATGTCGCATAGAGATAAGGCCCCCAGCTAAAATAGATATATCGGCATAAATTACAGCTTCGCGCGCAGTAGACGAAGCTACATTAGATACTCGTTAGAGCTTGCGATCGATGGACGTCGGCAATATATACAAGATTATTGCAGCAAAAAAAAAATTATAGACGAATTATGAAGAGAAAAAAATAATCGAGATCTATCGACGTGTAAATGGAATGTTTGCATTTCCTCTAATGTCATAACATGTAGAAAATAATCCGTCATCGCGAGAGTAAACAAACGTGACTTTTCCGACACCGAGTCACGTTTCTCGCGGCTCAATAATGCGATTTACCGGCTTGTTAATATTTATAGTTCCTGTTTGCCAGTTTCTTGTATTACCAATATATTGAAATCAACTCATCCGTTATAAATATTCCGCCTACTGTCAAACTTATTAGCCAAGCTTTCGCCGGTCGGAAGAGTCACTCCCGGTGATCGATGAACGCTGACGCAATCGCATTTTAGGATCGCCTCGTACGCACGTAGGTATATATCCGAGGACGAGAAATGTACGGCGAGTAAACACGGTCGTTTGTCATGCGCGTGCTCGCGCTACGAAATCGCGCGAATCGATATCGAACTCGAAATCCTTTGTCTCCCGCGCGAGGTCATTTCGCGCGCCGAGAGGTTCATTTAGGCATCCGCCTTTTAATCGTTTCTACGATCCTTTGTCTCTTCCGCGTGCGTGCGAAAAGTCCTTCACTCGTTAATACACAGAAGAAAGAATACGCGACCAAGAGTGCGAAAATCTCGGCGCAACTCGGTGTATAAAATATTTTCTTGCCTACGCTCCTCTATGAACGGACCACAAATTTTTTTCTCGATAAAATAGGAAATTAAATAGATTTTATGAAAGATAAAAATAGAGATCTAATTTTTAAGCTTTATACCAAATTTACTTAATTTCTTGGTAATTAATTTTCTTTGAAATGGATTAACTACACGGGATATGAATTTAGTTTGATAACAAGAAATTAGATAAATCTCTATTCTAGGTTTTTATTTTTAATAATTTTCATATGATTCCAAGAAATAAAATAAATCTCACCAATCTTTTATTAAAAATAAATCTCAAATTGAGATTTATTTAATTTCCTGATAATCAAGTTTGCTTGAATTATTAGTTGTGAAAGCTTGAATTGTGAAAACAAAGCATGAATTTTCTCTGATACGAGATACCAAGAAATTAAATAACTCTCGATTCAAGATTTTTATTAAAAATAAATTAAATGAATGAATAAAAATAAATTAAATAAATCTCGATTAAATTGTTTTTAATAGAAATATTCGAGATTTCTATTTTTAATAAAAAATTTTTGTTGAAAATAAAAATCTCGAAAAAATTGAGATTTATTTAATTTGTTTCTCTATCATATTAAAAATGCGTATCCTATGCACAATATAAATTGGTTTCAAAGAAAATTAAAATCTTCCTTCAAATTATAACCATCAGGTTCTTGCTAGCCTGTTTAAAAAATATGATTTTCGATATATATGTATAAAATTGCTCAATATTTGCAATTTCAATTATATCTGTATAAAAGTAAAAGAGAAACATATGTTTGATTCTTTTTTTTTTTTTCAAAAGAGCGCAAATAGATAATTCTGAGATCAATATCTCTCACAATATCTTGACAATTAACGACGATTATTTCGCAAGTCATCGCTTTCATATATCGGTTGCTTAGTCATTAAAGCAATTAACACATTGTTAATTACGCATTATTGATATTTCTTAATAATTCGAACAATATATCGAGCAATCATCTTATCGATTTTTTTGTCCTGCTATGGCATTTGCGAACGTTCACGTCTGAAGCCAAAGTGATAAAAGAAAAATACTGACCGAGCCAATAAGCATTTAAATTGTAACTAATGCGACTGTCGACGAACGAACTGAAAGTAAATAGCTATATGACACAAGTGTACACAAATGCAGGCATAATTTGTCCCGCAATGATGCGGTCGACCTTGTAATGGGTCGCTAACCTGTGCAAACATATATTATATATATATGTATAAAATCAATAAATAAATTATACATATTATACGTACATACCTATATGCATATATAAAAAAGTGAATGTTGTTGTACAACATTATTCGATATTAATATCGACGAAGAAATATAAGAAGCATTTCTTTTTTTGCATTACTAGACATGGTTGATGCACCAAATTTTGGAGTTTTATCCCTCTTAAAAATAATAATATGCACATGTCCGAAGACGGAAGCTTTCACGCTGAAGGAAATGTCAAACGATGTTAACCGGATATATACGCCGTGTCATCCATTATAATCGTCATAGAACTATTTGTGAACACCAAGCGCGATAATAAAATAGCGGGACATGATTTTACGTGACGATGAGAAACGTCGGCCACGAATCCGTTATCACTCTTACTAATCGGATTACGATTGAAGAAGGGAAAGGAAGCCATCTGAGATTACGCTGAACGTTATTTAATTATATTCGCTGCTCGTGCGATCTCGATTTCCCGAAACTCGACGCAAACGAGCGAAATAAAAAACGGAATTAAATAAACGCGCTTGCGGAGCTAAAATCAACACCGCCGAATGATTAATCGAGGAACTCGCACACGCGCGTCTTCGATCGTTTATTATCATTATTATTATTATTGCACGTTCGATTACGAAAAAAAAAAAAAAAAAGAATCTTATCCGAGCGTCAGATTCAGCTGCGATTCTCACCAGACATCGAGAGATCGATGTAAAAGTTTATAAATAAAGAAAGAAAAGGGGGTATATATATCCCATAGGGTATATAAGCCCCTCTCTTTTTCTCCTCATATGTTGTAAAAATAATTATCAATCTTTATAAAAATAAGTATCGAGATTTTTTTTTTTTTTTTTTTTTTTTTGCAAAAATTGTATTCCAAGCATTTAATTGATCGAGACTTATACAACATTATTCTCGTGTAAATTCATATAAATCAATGCAATCGCGCTAGATTCAGATTCCTTTTGCGTGCTGCGAGAAGCCAAGGTTTCGCGCTGTTAGAGAATTCCGCCAAATTTTCTTCGTATTTTCCATCTTTGAAATTCGCGAACTTTGTTCTTGAAATTCAAGCTAGTTCTCATCCGCGATCCGGCAAATTTATTACGCCCACACGTTACATTCCTGCCGATTTATCGAGCAGGTCGCACACGTGGATGATTTGCGCTGGCACGTCACATTTATACAAAAATGAATTTAACAAAAATCGTACGTATCTCGTTAAGAAATCGGCTCGTTTATTATTAAGCGACATTTGCGTTTACCGCGAGAAGTTCGGGATCGACGCGTCGGCGGAAATAACAGATTACTCAGTGTCAGTTAACCAACGTGACGGCCGGAAATTGCGAGAGCAGTCCCGAGTACTCGAAACAATTTGCTCGATACTTTTCGGCAGGCCTTGACGAGGACGCGTCCCTCCGGAAGAGAAAAAGATCCTCCAAGAGATATATATATATATATATATATATATATATATATATATTTATTTGATTAAACATGAAAGCCAGGATGTCCAGCAGACTCGATGAAAAAATTCCCTGACATTTTCAGATTTTCCAAGACCAGAAATTAATTGTCCCTGACTTTTTAGTATTATTTTTTTCAAATATTTAATTTGCATATATCTATATGATAAATCAATTAAATCATGAAATTCTTGAGATCTTTTTGTCAGCAATGAAAAGGTCCGGAAGTTGAAACAACAATTTAAATCAATTATACAATCTGCAATATGTACGATAATCGAAGCAAACACATGTCACTATATAAACTGTTTAAATAATCACCTTTTTTGTTTATATTATATCAAATTTTTTAGTTTTATCTCTATCAAACACATTGAAATAAAATAACACGACGATGAAAATATAAATGGACAAACACGCTGTAGATGAATCGATTTTTAACAACACAGAAAATTAGCGTGCTGAGAGTCAAGAAAAAGTTCATATTTATTTAATGAAAAATGTCAAATTATTGAGACAAATGTGGAATAATGTGAAAAAAATCCAGATAAATAGTAAAATTTCCTGACAATTCCAGATTGATACAATTCCCTGACAATGCCCGGTTTTCTAGATTTCCCTGAACGCTGGACACCCTGAAAAAGATCCTCCAAGAGAAATATATATATATATATTCGATTAAAAATGAACGTCGAACGTGTGAATCGATTTTTAACAACACAGAAAATTAGCGTGCTGAGAGTCAAGAAAAAGTTCATATTTATTTAATGAAAAA